GTTGCAGCTTTCGAGCGCGACAATGTAGAAAGCAACACTGTAGGTGGTTTCAGTAGGAGTTAGTTTGTTATTTCCGGGTGCGTGTGTGTGAGTAGATAGATGGGTCCGCGGGTGGAGGCGAGTCGGCGGGTGTAATGTTGCTGTAAGGTTATGATTTGCTTGCCATACTTGTTTTACGCAACCGCACGCACGGGAGGCTTTCTCCCTCTTGATGGTTTTGTTTTTTCCGTTTTGTAAGTTTAAACAAGAAGTTGTCGCTGTATGCCTCCCGGGGAATCTCGCTGTTATTGCGCTCGGAGAATCAATCGTAGAGACACAGACGAGGTTGGTCATCGTGTAACGCAATGGGTTTTTGCTAGTCTATCCCGGAGTGAGGATGAGACGAAGTGTTTGTATTTTTGTAAGAATAAGGAAAGAAAGTCGTCGTTCGTTTGTGCCACCGGTGGCTGCCTTCGTGTGCTGTTGTTCTGTTCCAACAATAAACAGCAGATGGGCTGTCTATGAATACGAAGCGGCACAACCACCTCTGCTATGTCTACGAAACGGCACAGCTAAAATACCTCTGCTGCATTTGTGCCCGTCGCATCTTCCCTGACTACCGTACACAAGATCGTGACACAAGATAGCACACACCCTTGACCGATTTTCGAAGCTCGATTTCTCAACTGCAGGAACAGTCACAGCCCCGAAAACGGCGGCGTTGAAACTGTCTCGTCGAGACCTTTTCGAAAATGTATCATTCGTTTATTCATCCTCTTCGTGGAGTAATCGAGCTTTGAAAATCGGTCCAGGGGGTGTGTTATCTTGTGTCATATACGGTACATTTATTGCCGTTACGTCGATTCTTCGCGGGTGTGTTTGTTTCTGGACGGTGCACACCTGACAAAACGTACAGATTGGATAATGCACGATTCATGATATCTTTTCTGTAAAGCGAAAACAAAAAGACAACCCTCGCTGCTCGACGTACGAGAGAGTGGTTGTTTCCGGAGTCCTCTGGGTAATTCGGAATACAACGATAGTTGTGTTGTCAGAATAATAATAATAATATGTGATTTTTTTTCGCAAGACATCCATTCATGAAGGCATGTCCCTCCGAATGCTGCATCAAGATACTGTAGATCCTCCAACCGACTGCCAACAATCTAATTCCGAAACCAGTCGCATGAATGCGCTTGGACGACACCAACCCCCCCCCCCGTAAATTGCAAGATCGCACACACATGAAGAGAGTCAATATGCGTATGTACCAGTCGATGTTTCGAAGCTCCGTAACATTCTCGGCAACGAAAAAAAAACTGCTTCTGGACGTTTTCCTTTTTTCGGATCTTTGCGGCGTAGCGAAATGCTACGTACGTATGTTGGCCTACGGTCCTTCATCCTGCCGTCGTGCTACATGTATATATGTGGAGATCTCGACCCTTGTGAAAGTATCTCCCGCACGCAGGGATACGGTGTCTTTACGCGCGACCTTACTCACTCACTGGTTGGTCTCGTTTGTATGTAGTGTGCATGCAGCCTTCGGCGTCGGAACAATTTAGTATCAATTCTCATGCACCTTCTGCATACATGCGTAGAATGGGTTATTCTCGAACCATGATATGCATAGTGACAACAGCAGCAGATGGACACTTTGCTGTAATCCCCGTCCACAATTGGCAGCACTAACTGATTTTATCATTTAAATATACTGCAGCATGGTGGACTCCTACGAGCCCCTGTGGCCCAATGGATAAGGCGTCACCCTCCTAAGGTGAATATTGCGAGTTCGAATCTCGCCAGGGGTTGACATGGTCAACATCTGTCGGGGCATTTTTTTGGCTGTTTTTTTGTGGTACGATCGATGCAAGTTCAGTGTTGGACCCAGGGATGTACTTCACAACATCGTCCTCACTAGGCAGGTTTGTAATAATTATGACAATTTGTCACCTCTTCTTCGACGCCATTGTGAAGAAATAATGTTGACAACTTTTTTTGTGAAGGTGGTCTCCACAATAGCGTCATTCTATTTATGTTTACAACGAAACCTCCTCACAAGAACCACCCACCAAACTTACGTGTGTGTCCATTCGATCGCGCGAAGTCGCGAAAAGGGCGTGGTGGGAACAAAATCGACAAGAAACATCTACAGCGCGAGGAAAGCGTTTCGATGATACCAATCTTCTCGTGACCTCCTACGAGTTTGGGCGTCATCTATAATGCATGCACATATATATTTTTTCGCCTTTCGGAGCAACACATCAGCACCAAACGAACAACAATAGCACACCCTCCACGTTTAAGTCGACGTGGCCACATCGACTAGACGTGACACAATCCATGCAGACGTCGATCATTAAGTTATCACTCCGGGCGCTTGGGCTGTTGTTTTCCGATTGCACGAGAAAACTTCATAAATATGGAGCTACACCGTTATCTGTATGTAGCTTTGTCCAGGCCCCCAACCACAAAATCGAAAAAGTATATTGTGACCGCCTTGACAGTAGTTGTTCTTCCCATTTCCCCCCTGGACACACCTACCGAGTGAAAAATTGCCGTTGGACGTTGGATGCACTCGTGAAAAACGGTCACTGCTGTGCGCATTCCAGAAAACCGAGCAAAGCCTCGAAGAGAGAGGCAGGTTGGTCGCAGAGCGGTGGTTTTCGTCCTCGCCCGCGCAAAACCACCACACACCCATAACTTGAGAGAAAACGCCGCAACCAAAGCCATCTGGCAACACGCCGCATCACGAGTGGCCGCCACCATAGTATCACAAATAACGTTGTTTTCTTGACGTAGTGCGTTTTCGTTGACATATATATCTGGACATGTTTCCACAGTAAGTAAGCGTTCTCCGATGTTTTCTACGGGTGCGCAGCAAGGAGGAAAGCGTAGCCTACAACACCACCAATCACTCGGCCCAATGGTATCTTCTCAAACAACAGCCGACTGAGCCGTTTCTGGGAGCCCCGTTGTCCAATAGCAGGAGCACGAATATAAGAGGCTATGACGTCACACAGCACTTATCTCCGGAAGTGCACGCACAGTCCCAACGGAACCATGACGTCCCAACGGATTTACTATGACGACATGACACATATTCAAGCACGTCCTTCGTGTGGGCCACAAGATGCCCCCCAGCCTGAAGAAAGCGTAACACGGTTTCGCCTTCAACGAAATCGAGATTTGCTACTACTGACTACTCGATGACCTTTGACAACCCGATCGAGTAGTCCTCGTACCGCAAGCATAGCTCAACTGCATGGCAGCAGCCTCACGGGGACACGGGTGTTTTCACGCATTTTCTGATTTATTCTGGCGTAAAACCTCGCGCATCCATCCCTTCTCTACAATCCAGCCGCCGCATATTGTCGTCCCCCCAGCCTTCTCTGTTGTGAAGCAGTAGAGTGTGCGTCGCTCAGCTTCGTGACCGCAACAACTCTTGTCGAAGGCGTTCACCAGCACTGCCGCCATGATAGCAACACTGCTGCTACAGCTCCGTTTCCGACGGCGCGGCGGAAGCATGCTCCGAGCTGTACTCCTTCAACAGCGCGAGAGGCACGACCTCCATCGCCTTCTCATGGGTGCTATCCAGCACTACAAGGGGGGCCTTACCGGCGCGTTGTGCCTGCAGCCATCGCGAGGAGCACAGACACCTGCGCGCGATTTCGTTGTAACCGTCGGATGTTACTGTTGGTCAGAGCAAAATAAAAAAGGTGTCGACGGACGGCAGGGTTGAGGGTGAAACGACCGCACCACGAACAACAAGCGTGATTTGTCCGTCGGGGGAGGTACAGGTGACAACAAACGACCAGGGTTCAGAGGCATGACAACAATGGAAAATGTCAGAGGTCCGAAATCTAGACACACAACCCAGCGTAATAACTCGAACCGAACAGAAGAACACAGCACACAACACAGCCGGCGTCTTTCCAACAAAAGACAACCGTATAATAAACGTACCATCTGTCCCCGGCCTTGAGACCCGGAAAATGCGGTAGCGGGGTGGAGAGGTCGTTCCCCTGGGCCTTGGTGTAGTCCAAGAACTCCTGCGTCACCTCCGAGCACACGCAGTGCTGCCCGCGGTCGTTGTCATCCGTACTGCAGTAACCGTCGCGTCTCCATCCGGTCGTTGGTCCCCCAGGTAGCGAACACGCCTGCAAAGGTTGTAGAGAGGGCGGGGGTTGATTTCCACGTGGTTTGGAGATATTTGCGAGGGAGCCGGCGAGAGGCGGACAGATAAACCAAACACAGATGCAAGTGACGCTGCTATCCCGCAGGTCAAGGAGAGAGTGTCAACGTGCCACCAATTTGAAGCTGGGAGGTAAGAAATTCCAGCACAAACGATTACAAGAAAAAATTACCAGAAGAACATATACATGCTCAGGTACGATACCCATGGTAAAACCAATATATTCGTTGTTGGGTTATCCCACAGACGAAAAAAAAAAATCGGCCTCCGACAAACCAAGAGGTTCGTAAACGGTGGCATCTTCTTTGCCGGGTTTCTTCTCAATGCTTGGCAATACTAATAGCGTGGTGATAAACAGAAGGATACGCAATGGCATGTAGAGGCTGGTGCCCAGAACAGATTAGACAATGAACACAGCGTTGGCCCTTTGCCCATTGGGGTAAAGTGCCTTCGACGGTGCGAGGGGAAAACAGCATGTTAACACACTTGGTGTAAGCTTGGTATAGAGTCGAAACATCTGCACGGAGGGATAGGAACACTCGATTCTTGTTGCTTTCGTCCGGGGAGAGGGCTGCCGCACAGGGGAAACCTTGAGGGTGGCGGAGGTTGCTCCGGGCAAAACGGTACGTCTTAATTGTGTAACACGATACGCCTCAAGAAGGTGGTATGCAGGAAGGAGTGGAGGAACGTACTCCTACGAATACTGTTCTTGCAAAGGCATCTTCAGCACCTCATAGATGCATGCGTAGGATGGAAAAGTGATGGTACGGGACGATTCATTGCGCCGTATTGACGCTTCACGTCTGGGACTTTTTGCTCTCGGGTGATTGGTGTCACGCCTAGGTTTTCGTCTCTCCTTCTCTCTGGTGAGAACTCCAAGAAATTGCGATCCCTTCGGAGCATGATCGAAACATATCTATTCAAGACTGCCATCGCCGTCTGAAGCTAGCCGGCCTACGGGCTGCGATGAGGCGCCACCACGTTGGTTGACCAGCATCAAGACACATCATTTCCAGCATATGAAGTGAAGACACACAAAAAACACACAAAAAAAAAGTTCAGCCCTACAGAAATCCGGATACGGAACAATGCTGGCCGTTAGGGCACAGCTAGTCAAAGCAGCACACGAGGCCCCACGAAAGAACCTCATGTTTTCGCCTGAGGCTCGTTTCTTACTTCCTCTATTGGGTAACAGCGACCACAGACTTACAAAACCGGTAGATTTTATTGTAGCATTCTACTGAGCACCTGATTTTGTGGTTCTCAAGTTCGAGCCGGGGAAATATTAAACCTCCCGGTGGTCAAAATTTGGTGGTGCAACCGGTATGGGGAAGAAGGCGTTGATGATGTCGGGCTGGAAATGTCGGAAAGGCGACCACCGCGGGGTGAAGCAAGCCTGGAGAGAGAAAGGCCTAATCGACTCGTGCCAACAATTGCAAGTTGCTCGGCGTCAACTGCCTAGGCAAAGAGAGGCGATTCCATAATTTTCCCAGTATATTTGCATACGTAGAGAAACCTGCGTAGACTACTGCTGTCGGCGTCACTCTTCCCCATGCGGTGGTGTCAGGTAGCCGAAGGTGGGGGCGGGGCAAGAGTACCACAGATCCTGGGACCCCCCGGCTCAGGGCCTGTCTTAGCGTTAAAAAAAATGTCACCAAAGTACAGAAGCCCCGAAAAGCCGAAGTTAAGGGGAGTATCGCCGGAGTGTTATTGGTCAACAGGGAAAAATATGAGGAAAGCTAGGAAGAAACGGGAACTAGGTGGAGGAAAAACAACGGCAACACCCGTTCTTTTCCCAAAATCGGAGGAAACGAGTTGGGACTGCACCCCTGTTGCACCCTCCATGATGAGTGGACCTCGTGTTGGCGTTACCGCTTAATGGACTGCATGCGAGTTGCACACCGCTGGTCGTGCGGCACTCACACGCATCGCTCACTGCCCGCTGCTGGGAAATCGCTGTATTGCAAGGATTCCGTGAGCGTGTCCGATTTTCGCACGAAGTGGTTTGATGTGGGATTCGCTTCCTACAATGTCAGACGTCGAAAGCCAACGGCTGGTCACGCGAAGCGGGGCAGTCCAAATAACAGTTGGTGAGCAAGACTGAGGATGAGACTTGGACCACTGGCACCACCTGCTTATGCCTAGCTTCGCGTGTGTGCTGATACAAGCGTACGGCTTCCGTGTGGTGCACATGGTCAATCGCTCCACCTGTCTCTTTGGTGACCCACGCCACCTCGTACAGGCGATTCCGCCGCATTTTGGTGTTGCAAACTTCGATTCGGCATTTTGGGTGCGCACAGTAACGTCTACGATGCCACAAGATTCATTATTTTTGACGTAAAAACCCAATGTACCCCGTAGACTGTATGGGTCCTCCTATTTTCGTCCCCAAATCTGGACACTACAACATAAACAACACCAAACCAAACATGCTAACACTCTTGAAAAAGAATGCCAAAGGTTAAAAAAAGTGGTGTCTCCGACATGAGTGGAGAAATACGGAATCGTGCCCTACAGGTGCAATAGCGTCCGCAAAAATGAACTTGGCAGTTGAGTCAAGAAATCGATACAGCCTAAAAAACAATAAAAATTGAAGAACTCTTAACACCATATAAGGAGCTCGGTTAGAACCCCTACACTAAAAGCCTACATAGCGGCCATTCTTAGAATAACCCTAGGGACGTTCTAAGCCTCGGCCAAAACGAGAGGTCCAGATAAAGTCGCATCCGCTCATTGGGAGGAGGCTGTACAGCAGTCCCGAGGGACAAGAGGATGGCTTGGTGTTAAGAGAGAAAAGTGCCCCCAAATGCATGGGGGACACTGTCCTTACCCAAGACAAGTTAGCAATTTTTTCCAGTTCTAGCCAACACTAAACTTTTACCATCAAGGGGGCGCGCGACGTGCGAGATGTGTACAGCAAGTCAGAGGCCGAGGCACCATACCATCTTGCACTACAGTAGCATGGGTAAACCAAGGTTTCCCACGTGCTTTTCACACAGCGGAGCCTAGTGACGGCGATATGGTGCGGCACAGACACTGAGTGATGTGTCCCCAAGGTCTGCTCATTTGGGTGTCCAGTACCGTAAACGGGTCGTACGCAGTCACCAGGTTCAGAATAAACCGCGTCGGCTCATTGGGAGAGGCCGTGCAGCAATCCGACGAGCTGACTTGGTTTTAGAGAGAAGAGTATCCCGGATGCACTGGGGATACTTTCCACACTGAAGCGAAGTCAGCACATTTGCGAAAAGGTTTTAGTCGATGTGAGTCCGGGCACTAACTGCATCTTTTCTCGATGAGAGGCAGCTGAGCGCTAGAGCTTCATGTATTTACCGCAATGCACAGGGCAGCAGCAGTCTACGTGTTCAACAGCAGACAGTAGTGGACAGGTCATACATCTCGCCGGCGCGTGGCCAACAATTGAAAACCCTGATCACCCCTCCACGAAGACCTGAGCAACGTTGTGTACATCACGTAATGACCAACATGGCGACCAACGTACATTGGTATCTACAGGGCTCCTGCTGAGGTAGAGTACCAGACTACTGCTGTTGCTGTGACGTCTTCTAGGTTTCGACTGCTGTCTGACCTTCAGAGGGGTGCCCAACACGTTTAGCGGAGATCCTGTAGACATATGAGCAACGAACGACGTTGTGCGCAGCGGCAGAAGCGCCAATGCAGCAGCTGATCGTGCCCAAGATGACATCATACCCCCTCCCGGCCGTGGAAAGACGGCTGCAAGGATGGCAGGGGGTGGGGACCCATGAGGCACTTCCCCTCCATCGTCGCAGGTATTTCGGGAAAACACTGGAAACCCATGGAGCCAGCCCACAGAGAGCCAGCGCGGAGGTCATCTCATGTCTCAGAACTCGGAACATGGAGCGATGGTGGTAAGACACGCCCTGTGAGCGCAGCTTTTCCGAAAGTGGAATCCGACTGGTAACACAGGTGGGTGGAGAAACAGACCAGGAACGGCCTTAGAAAGCGGGAGAACTACTGCTGTGACGGCTGTGATGTTGGCTGTGCGTAGGAGCTGTGTGTGGGGACATTACATACAGCAGTTGTGTCGGGTGCCTTTTTTCGTTACGACGCTTCCGACGAGCGTTGGTTGCACAGATGGTTGTTGACAGCTGAGCGGGCCTTTCGCCCAAGGAGAGAACCGCGCCAGTATTGCTGATGCCGTTGGCTCCCCTTTCGTTGTGGAAGCAGGTATACAACACCCTCGCGTGCAAGCCGCGTGCTCCAGAAAAGATTGTTTCTTGGTGTTCCACCAGTGTGGCATGACGACGCCATTCCTCTCAGCAACTCAGTGAGTACATTCTCATGCGTTTACACTTTCTGTTTTTCCCGCCACCCTACGGCTTGTCTAGATGGTTTGTATTGGTGATACACCGAAGAGATCCTGCCGATATTCCCGTCTAAGCGCAAAACTAATGGTGCTGAGGCTACTTTAGGCGCAAGTAAGGAAAAGCGACAGAGAAAATGAACCCCGCTCTCATCGATCAGACCCCTCCCTCACACTCGTGTGTCGCAGGCAGCTCTCCTTGAAATGCCTCCAGCTCTCTCGTCTTCGTCTGGTCGCACTTTACCCCCGATCTCATGGAGCTGATGCTGCTGTGGCTCCGCGGTGGGTAGGTCTTTGGGCCCGCCGCACGGTTACTTTTTTGTTATTATTATTATTATTATTATTATTATTAGTTTTTCCCCCTCGCTGCTTGTACAGGTGGAAAAGATTTTGTCCTCCGCCCAAGTTCAAACGTTTCTCCTTCTGTCGTCAATCACGCCGTCCGCCCGCCTAATGTCGGATCCAGCATCGTATCACCTCAGACGCAAACAAGGGGACCGACCCAGTCATCATTTTCGAGGTCGATTGCCAAGCGCATCAACAATCCCCGCGCGCGACGATGAGTCTGTCCCCGCCCCGCCCTATTTCGAGTCCACGAACAGCCCGAAGAATCGTTTCATTTGTTACTGGACCCAACCCCCCCCCCCCCCCCC